ATTATCGAGAATAGCAACACTTGAAATTACTATACTATGAGAGCCTATCAAAAAAAAGCAGACCAAGAACTCCTACGTTCTTTCAAGTGAACTATTAAAAAATTCTTGACTATAATGATATACTAACAATTATTGATATGCTATTTCACTCACGTTAAATATACTACTATTCTAAACATGGCATTGATTTCTAAAGTATTGTCGAAAGAATCTATAATGTGTACAAAACTCGATCAATGAAAAACAATGCTTGTCTAGTTGTTCTCAGTATATATTCAGTTTAATATACTCTTAACTACTATGCATAATGAATATAATAAACTTTCTCACTCTCTAATTATTAACAGGCTATCAATCACAACGAAAAATAATCTCCTACATTCTTACATATATCCCAATTGCTTACTTTTTTTTTCTAAATCTAAACTTTTACAAATAAGCTTGTTATTTCTTGTATCATATCTTATTGCGTTTCAGGAAGGAATTTTGTATCTTCAAATTTATAATAAATATAACAAAAAGAAAGATACACTGTAGAATATTGTCAACATATTTTATGTATAGACCTTTTGGAATAACACTTCGTAATTTCAGAAAAGTGATAACGTGACACGTTTTATCTTTCCGGGATTTAAGACTGTTGTTAGCGCAATTCTTTTAAGATTATAATATGAAAGACGATGTAGCTCGTGTTGCTAATTACATGAAGATTGCTTTATTCTATCTATTTTGAGACATATTTCTTCATCATCTTTTTACTTAATTTTCTAGAAATGGAATAAGAAAATATTTCATATATTAGGAAGAGACGTTATTAGTATAGGACCTTTAATAGCATGTCAACAAGTACAGATAGAATTGGTATCGATCATGAAAAACCTAGATTCAACAGTTCTTTTAGATTTCGTTTCTTTCACTGTGCAGCATCATGAGTCTCTGCGTTGAAAGATAACAATATATATTTAATAACTCAAAACACAATTTGTTGTAAAGTCTAAATTTTTAATAAATTGACTAGATGTCTCAAATTTTCATAGTTTTTGATAATGTTGTCAAGATTTATTTTCGTAAATATTTGTATGAAATTTTTTTGCTTCATTCAAAACTGGATTGTTAGATTTTCTCATAAGCTCTGTTAAAAATGTTACTCTGATAAGCGGCAGATATATCTGCTACTTGCTTTAATTCATTATCGCAATATGTGTTTTGTTGAGAGTAAATATAATAAGGAATTTTTTCACCTGTGGAAGAGTGCATTGCAATACCTTTGGCTTTATATATTCTATTTTTCAAGAAGATTGAGAAAGTATGACATTTGAAAGGTCACAGAAGAAATGAGATACGATTGATCATAGAAAGTATTTACTTATTATATATTACTTCACAAGGTATATAATTCAGTGTGATTAAATATTTGCTGCAATAATGAAATAGAGCAAATAGTAGAAAAAAAATCTATGTAGTTTGTCAGAGCAATATTTCTTTCATGAACATATATAAAAACATGAATTTTATTTTGTTTCTTTTATGAAGAACGAAGGCTTTTTTTTCTAATATTGACAACAAAGTCTTTTTTTAATAAAATTTTTTCTATTATAGTCATCATCTTCTTCATATTGTTTTATAAGAGTATAATTTACATGTGTTGTATTGATGAAGTGAATAAACAATATCAAAGCAAGGATACTTTCAATATGGTTCATAGAATAATGCTTACTATTATACTTCAATCCAATAGTAGTAGTCTATGTTCATGTACACAATTATTTGAATCATGCATGACATGAATAAAATGTAAAACGTGATAGAATACATCGCAAAAAAATCTATGTCATGATGACCACACTTATGAGGTCTCTTGTGTTTTTCTGTTGTCTGTTAATTCCCTTGTATTCTTATTTTATCCTTCATATTTAATGATGAAGTTACAAATAGAAAAAAAAAAAAGAAAGAATAAATTAATTATTAAGCTGATAGACAATTTTAATTAACTTGAAATTTTCTAATGAGATATTAAAGTATAGACAATTAAAATGATTGTCGGTTTTACATATTTAATTGAATAACGTATATAATTAATAAGACACGAATACGGTATTAAATGTCTTCCTTTTTTTTTATCTTAATTTATTTTATCAATTAAAATCAAAATGTAGTCAATTTTATATAAAGGTGTATAAATATTAATCAAATATGTTAATGGAAGTTGTTGCTTTTGATAACAACATTCGTTTGTTGCAGTGATACAAAAAAGTTCTTGAACAATTCAATAAATTTTTACATGTAATACAAAACACTAAACATGTCTATGTCAGAAAAATATTTCATTTTCGGTTTATTCTCGTGGTTTGAGTATATGCATAAGTTCGATTTTGTCAAAAACAGGTTATTGATAATTGTGGCAATGAATAACATAAAGATGTTTCTATAAAAATTTCTTATTATCGGTTACCCAAATACAGAATCAATGCTTGTTTTTATGCATAAGTTACCATCATATTCAAGAACATTACAAGAAAAGTCATGACTTTTCATGTTTGATTTTTGAGTTCAATTTGTCTATGTTCTCTGCAGAAATAACAAGCTACTATTATACTTCTGTACACAAAGAAAAGAAACAAAATTACATTCGTCTTATTCGTGCTCCATGCTGTTATAGATCAATATAAACGAATAAAAGTCACTACTTGATCAAACGACACTATCAAATATTAAATTATAACGAATATCTTTTATTTGTACTAAAGATAAAGATGTTAATAACAAGCAAAGATGAAGAAGAAACTGAAACAAAAGATGAACGATTTGAAAATGCTCATGACACTATGGTGATTCTTGCATGAATGGTCTTCGCTTCGACAGCTATTCTATTTGCACGTTATGGTCATACGATACGTTTTGGTTCAAAAGACAAACTATAAGGTGAAAAGAATTGCTTTCAAATCCATCATTTAATGGCTTGTTTGACTACGATGGTTACTTTGCTCGATTTCTTTCTCATATTGGTTCAAGCACAAGGCAAATGGGTAAGCAATGGCGTAGGTCTTGTGTTTGCCCATTCTGTTCCTGGTGGCATTGTTGTTGCCTGTGCACTTGTGCAAGCATGGATGGCACTTTTTCGTTGTCATCCAGACGGTGCATTTCATTATATTTTCAATTGGCTTCATCGCTTGACAGGATTATTGGCTTTTTTTCTTTCGATTTCAACTATCTTTCTTATTGCAGTACAAATGGATGAGAGTCGAACTGGCATGATCATTATTCTTTCAATTTGGTCTGGTTGGGTTGTTTTGATTGTCATTGTTTTAGAAATCATTCAATTTCTTCTTCGAAAATCATCCTCAACGATAATTAATACGTGAAATGAAACTGAACCATCGGATATCAATGACAAAAAAGTTAATGCTAGTGTTAAAACACGTTGGAATAATTGTATATTAATTTTATTTTTACTGCATATTATTGTGACTATCGCATTGGCTATTCCATTTATTGTTCTTATCTGGAAATAGACATATATTGTATTATCTTTCAATCCGATACGATTACGAGAGAGAGAATGATGAAACTTTTCCAAAATTAAATTGATATCTTCTTTAAGAGGAACTGTCTATTTGAATAATTTATATACTTATATTTAACATTCATTATTCAAAATATAAAAACAATTTGCAATAAAGAAGAAAAGTTTGAATGAATATTTTTCTTCGTACAAAATCTATTTCGTATCTCGTAAATTTTAATATCATTCAACATGAGTGCAAGATTGTACAGTTGTGAAAATTTTCAGTCTACGATTAATAGTTTGAGCCGGACAAATGTACAAGAAGAACATATTGTTATCCTCATGCATCTTGAACGAGATAAAGAGAGTACGACAAATCAGAAGAGAACCGTTAATCAAAACACATCCGTATGTGTTCGTAATGAAACCTGTTTGTTTTATATTTTATGCGCCGACTTCAATGAAAGAATATATTTCACCTTTGTACTTAAAATTGTCGACAAATAGTGAAAACATTGTGTGGCAGCATGTACAAGTATAGAATCAAAATCCCAGTAGGTCATTGCCGATTAATGACTTTCGTTTGCTATTACAATAGCATAAAGTAGTTAGTTTAACCAATTAGTGTTTAAACGATATGCAATGTATCTGATAAAGTATGAGAAATTTGTCAAGAAAAAAACATCATCAACAACAAAGAGAATAAATTTGCATTATAAAATTGCAAAATTTTTCACGCAATATATATCGTTCTCATTCATCATTATCTTAAAGAAGAAAAATCTATGGTATGATTCATATCGACTATGCACGTCTGGATTTATTCCATCTAATCTTTAGTTGTTCAATTATCTGCAATGTAGTCTTGATAATATCCAAGTGCTACAAGTTTAGCTAAAGTAATAACAACAGAGATCGATTCATCACATGTTCAGGAAAACTAAAAGGCATTCTAGAAAGGGATTTGAAGGGTAATACTTTGTGTTGAACATCATGCATACTACTTCGAACATTTACTATAAAGAAATTGCCAAAATATTTCTTCTATGAATAAATATTCGAATGTGCATCAATTTTTTGACTATCATATATGTATATATAGTCAAAAACTCATTGAAATCGGAAGGCAAAGAGGTTCATTCGTAAGTGTTATTTTAACGTAGTAGTGATATTTTGTAGGTACATGAAAATGTATGAAGTTTATCGTAACCTCTTTAAAATATAAATTAACGATGTATGTAGTCGCTATTGACATCATGTATCTAATTCAATTTGGCCGAATAGATAATACAATGAAACAACTATTGTGAAGTTGTTTTTGTTTTTTCTAGTGTTTACTTCAGACTTGAACCATCAGAATTAGAATATGAAGAACATTATTCAAATTATAAAAAAATTCTTTATTCAGAATAATAGAAAGATGATAACCACACCCAATAGAATGCTCTTAGAATAATAAACTATTATTGTATCAACTTTATTATTAGTATATTTTTTATAGAGAAGAACTATTGGATGATAGGTGGCCATTTGATACTTCATTGACTGACCTTTGATTAGTTAAATCTGGTATTTCCTACAAAAGAAAATTAGAAGAAATTATGTTTTCCTTCCATCTCTCTCTCTTACCTTTTCATCAATAATTGGATCAATTTTAAAATTATCACTGTATCTTGATATGCGCAACATGTTGATCAATTCAGCATTAAAATATTGAGGTTGATCATGAAGCTAAATGAATTCCATATTCACAAAAACAACTATTACAATGAAAAACTATACTTTTAATGTAATTGATTGATCGAATAGAAATTCATTTTCACAATAAGTCATTGGTGTTACGTAAGTTACCAAAGCACCATATTTATTATCAAATATGGTAGAATCTTCATCTGATTTATTCTTAAACAAACGATAAGTACACGAGGCATATTTGATATCGCCTAAAAAAATATATTTTACTAATCAATAGAAAAAAATCTAACTAGATAAATCTAACCAACTAATTTTTTCAAGTCTTCGTTAATCACTTTGATTGGACTTTTTCTTATCAAACACGGTTTTGTAAAACCAGTATCAAGTGCTATTGCAATCAAATCACTTTCTACCAAAGCACCACTTAATCCTCCACCTAGTTTATACACAAAAGTGGAAAGTGATTTTAGTTTTTCCCATTATAAAAAAAATGAAATTATTTCAATATATCGATCGATCACAAAAAATGAACGCAAAATACTCTTACCCCAAAGAATTTTATTGCTATGTAATTCTTTCGGAATCGGTCGATCAGCATACATATCACTGAAGTAAAATTCACCTCCAGGCTATGAATTAAAAAAACATCCAACGTATAAGATTTATTAGATGATTTAAACAATATATAATACCATTTTTTTTTCTGAGAAATTAGTCAAAACAGAAAAAAAAAGAACTTTACACTCCGAAGTATGAGTGAAATATTGTATTTCGAAGTACTGAAGTCTCATTTTTTTTCTCTCTGGCTTAACCTCAGTGCATATGTCAACTTACTTTTAACATTTCATATACTTGTTGTAAAACTTTCTTCTTATCAGGAGTTAAATTAACAACACAATTTGATCTAAAACAATAATGATACAGATCAAACTTTAAAGAAAAAGAAACGAAAAACAAAGTATACATACACAATAACATCGAATGAATTAGTTTTCATTCCAGAATCATCAGTAAGCTGTTCAATTTTACCCAAACGAAATTCAACATTGGCTTTTTCAAAACCAAATGCTTTTGTATGATAATCAATAAAACGATTAGCAACATCAAGCTAAATTAGAAAGAAAAAGAAGAAGAATAATTCATTTGATGTTGATCAATATAAAATTTGATATACTTGTTCTTTAGTCATATCAACACCAACAACATATCCTTGAGCTCCAACAAGACTTGATAAAATATAAACATCACGACCTGCTCCAGAACCAAGATCTAATACACGACAACCTTCAAGTTTTGGTGGGAAGACTAAACCACATCCATAATATCTATGAAGAAATAAAAATCTTCTTTTAATATTCTGCTATAGACTAGAAAATTATTGGAATGAAATTTTAGCTATTTTGATACTGTATTATTGTCTTTCAAATGTATTTAAAATACTTTGTTTTAACGTATCTATTTCCCTCAATGGAAACTCACTTTGCTACAACCTCTGGATGAATCTTTTTTAGAATATCTTTGATAAAAGAAGGTACATCAGCCTTTGAACAACAAACATCTGTTTTTGAACCAGTTGATTGCTGTAGTTCTACACCATAATAATTCTGGACGTTTTCATGTATATTTGTCATGATGATATAAATTGTTCTGAGAAAAGATGTGGCATACTCGTTCTTTTATACTTTTGTAATCATGATGAATGAAACACGATATGACCAACAAATCTTTATTCTATTTGCTCGATCATGTTAGATAAGAGTGAGTCAATAATTCAAATGCATACTATGTCTATTTTTTCCACAACAAGCAATTGCCGTTAGCTGCTGATCAATTTTTGACAAAAAATAATATCTTATTTTTCTGACTTTTATCAGAGGTCATACATAAAGGATATCCAGTTGAAGCGGATCAAACATTTCCGAACATACCAACACTTCCTATGAATATTTTCCTTTTTTTTCACAAAATTTTCGGCAAAAGAAAAATCAGTTGAATATGAATATGACGTTGAACAATTGAAGATTATGCTGCGTAAACAGATAGTTATTTTATCAAGCAGTTAGATGTGATTTTTGACTGCCATTGATATTTAACTTCATTTTTTGTTTTTTGTGTTACTTTTTTTGTGCGTGTCAAGATGCAATATATTTATAAACAAAAACTTAGCTATAGATTATAGTTTAATTTATTGTCTGTTGTTTTTTTTTTTTACTGAACATCCACGCGAGAACGAGCAAATATATGAAATTCAACAAATCGGGACAGAAAACAGGATCAAAAAATACGATTTTTACGTTAATGGCCTCTATGAATGACTCCTAAACAGAGACGTTATTTAAAAAATGAATTGAAAGTTTCTTATATAATGCAAATAGTAACATTTCAACAAAAAAAAAAAACACTAAAAAATACGACTATAGGAAACCGTTAGTGTTGGTCTTAGGAAAAAACATTTCAAGTGTTAATTTTTTTATGTCAAAACTAGATAAAATTCATCTGAAGTTTTTCACGATGTCATAAGTTTAATAATATAAAGAACAAAGTTCTTTTGAATTTCATTATCGTAAGTAGCATTGGCATTGCTATAATGCATTTGTGTGAAATTTAAGAATCAGATAGTTCATATTCTTTTGCATGAGAATTTGTCAAGAATACTTATGTACATTTCATAGTCATCAGAATAAAAATCATGAAGTAGTTTCATTAGCTATTTTAGAGTTTAAGAGTTGTTTCATCTATATTTACGATTAGATATGATCAATGGATGTTGAAGAACCCTATAACGAAATGAAACAAACCTTTACCCATACAAGAGGATGTTCAATAATTATTAATACTAATTCATCATTATAATAATTCAAATGCTTGTTTTTCAATCTAAATTATGTTCAACTCGAACAACATATAGATTTCAGTAGATCATCTTTATCGTTTTCGTCTTTCTGATCATATGTGGTGCATTAGGTGGCGCTTCTATAATCATTGATGGTAAATAAATGATTGGCATTTTTTTTGCTTCGTCACGCACAACACAAAGTATCTAGAGCATTTTCATTGGCCAATCAGAAGTCGACAAATGATAAGAAAACATGTCAAGTCATATTTGACTCAAAAAAAAACATTCGAGGTACATAAAAACAGTATTCTGTCTTATCTTTTTGCATATTCACTAGCAAAGGAACGCAAATCGTCATGACGAATGTACATGAAGACGTGCAAAATTATTATGGACAACAACTACAGCAAACAACTGATTTAAAAACCGATGCTTGTTGTTCAAAGGCTGATGTACCTTCTTTTATCAAAGATATTTTAAAAAAGATTCATCCAGAGGTTGTAGCAAAGTGAGTTTCCATTGAGGGAAATAGATACGTTAAAACAAAGTATTTTAAATACATTTGAAAGACAATAATACAGTATCAAAATAGCTAAAATTTCATTCCAATAATTTTCTAGTCTATAGCAGAATATTAAAAGAAGATTTTTATTTCTTCATAGATATTATGGATGTGGTTTAGTCTTCCCACCAAAACTTGAAGGTTGTCGTGTATTAGATCTTGGTTCTGGAGCAGGTCGTGATGTTTATATTTTATCAAGTCTTGTTGGAGCTCAAGGATATGTTGTTGGTGTTGATATGACTAAAGAACAAGTATATCAAATTTTGTATTAATCAACATCAAATGAATTATTCTTCTTCTTTTTCTTTCTAATTTAGCTTGATGTTGCTAATCGTTTTATTGATTATCATACAAAAGCATTTGGTTTTGAAAAAGCCAATGTTGAATTTCGTTTGGGTAAAATTGAACAGCTTACTGATGATTCTGGAATGAAAACTAATTCATTTGATGTTATTGTGTATGTATACTTTGTTTCTCGTTTCTTTTTCTTTAAAGTTTGATCTGTATCATTATTGTTTTAGATCAAATTGTGTTGTTAATTTAAGTCCTGATAAGAAGAAAGTTTTACAACAAGTATATGAAATGTTAAAAGTAAGTTGATTGATGGAGAGAGATAAAGTATTCTCGTTTTTATTCCGATTTATTTCTTTGTAACAGACAATAATATTCAAGTTAAGCGAAGGAAATAATAAATCGATTTTGAGTTCAAACTATGTGCATTATATAAAATCAAATTAGCTATGAATACCTGGAAAAGAGTTTGCGCTCTGAGCTTATTGCTGTTGGAGATACTGCAATTTTATGGTAATTTTTAAATGAATGTCGTGGTCCAGAAAACATGATTGTTGAATTTCGGCATAAAAATTTGCATAGAGACAGATCTTCATAAGAATCAGTTGTCGTGGATGTTTGCATCTTGTCGCTATTTCCATCATAAGATAGATGTATGATAATAGTGTGTCTTTTGTATTGCTCATATAAACAGGCAGGTTTCATGCTCTTATCTCAGGATAGGAGCAAATTAAATAATGTAAAACTTTTAGAATAAATTCCTGTCGCTACGGCCTCTCTCCATGAAAAGTTTTAAGTCAAATACTTCTCATGAATTATTATTTGAAAAGCGAGTCCATCAGGAAAATTATATACAGTTTTACAGTTGCAAAGGTGGTGATTCTTGAGTCGAAGCCAGTTCTTTTATTCGCCGGATCAGATGAGCATCATTAGTCTTTACTTTGACATTATATTATGAGATCATTGGTTTTGATTTGCATTCAGAGTTCCTTATTCGTATTGTTAAAGTCTACTACAGGTGGAAGGCCATAGTAAAAGCTGTAAGTTTCTATCTTTTATCGATAAGAAATTGCAGGAGAGAGTAAACGATTAATCAAGCATATATAATAAAAGTTTCTTTTTGTTTATAGCCTGGAGGTGAATTTTACTTCAGTGATGTTTATGCTGATCGACCGGTACCGGAAGATTTACGGCAAAATAAGATTCTCTGGGGTAAGAATCTATAAAAATATTTTATTTTTGTAATATTTCACGTTTCTACGAAAATAGAATTTTTCATATTTTCATATATTATTATTGGATAAAATGGTCAATGTATAAAATTTCAAACTAGAGAAATCTTCTTTCTATGAGTTTTTTATATCTTTTAAATACTCATTACATACAATGTTCATTTGTCCATTTAATGTTAAATATTTACTATAGGCGAATGTCTAAGTGGTGCTATCTGTGAAAGTGATTTGATTTCGGGTGCACTTGAAGTTGGTTTCACACGACCAATATTGGTGGCAACAGATCCAATTGGTATCAACAATGTAGAATTACAAAAATTACTTGGTTCGATTTTTCTTGTCTATTCATTTTTCATTCAATGAATGAATTATACATTCGTATAGGTGATATCAAATTCACATCATGTACTTATCGTTTATTCAAGAGTAAATCTATTGACAAGTCAACAAACTCCGATGATAAGCTTGGTGCTTTGGTAACTTATCAAACATCAATTGTTCATTATGAAAATGAATTTCAATTTAACGAGTCAATTACATTCAAGGTATAGTTTTGATGATTGTATGTATTCAATTACGATGTTTATTATTTAGCTTCATGGTGAACCACAATATCTTAATGCAGAATTGGTTAAAATGTTACGCATGTCAAGATATAGTGATAATTTTAAATTTGAACCAATTACTGATGAAAAGGTATAAGAATGGGAGAGAAAAATTTATTTATTGTAATTTTTCTTTTTTTCTAGCAAATTCCAAATACAACCAAGCAAGTATCCAATCAACAAAAAACAAATGATCAATCATCATCTAGTTGTTGTCGTCCAGGAACGTGTTAATTAAACATGTGCAAATAAACTTCAAAACAAGATTCTTGACATTTCGTTTTAGTCAAACATACACTTTTTATTTTGTGAAGTGATAATTATTACTCTCTAAAAATAAATAGAAAACTAGTATAATCAGGATTCATATATAATCTACTAGATCTTATTTAATTGATATTTAAGATAGTTAACAGAAATTTTGAAAATATTGGTATTAAAATCAGAATTTTGTGTTCTTTCCCAATATGATTTCAAAATTTTTGTACGACTTCTGATTCATATGTTGTAGGTCGATGTTTTTTCGGCACGTAAATTATTTTCGTGTATGAAAAATTGCTAATTGAAATATAGGAATGAAAATCAGTTCGATCATGATCAAGAAATTTATTGTATTTGAGAACAGGTCACAAAAATGCAAAGCAATATTGTTTTAATAAAAGAATTCTACAAATAATGGTAAACTACATAACGAAGTAATTTAATACATGTAGAGGAAAATGCACAATCAAAAAAGTAAACACGTCGTGTCATTATGAAAAACGCATTCATGTATACATTGACAGTTATAACATTTGAAACTGATGCTACATTTCATTCCAGTATCATCAACAACAAGCAAATGTATATTTAACGAAATTGATCGAATTCTAAAAGGAGAAAGACATGAAGTGAACCACAGAGTCATTTGTCTTTTTTTTGTTGCTGTTATGGAAAACAACTAAACAATGTACTTTTTCAAATAAAATAAAAGTTTGAAAACTACTATTTTTCGAATGTCGATTAACTATCTTCTATTGATCAAATCCTAAGATATAAATATCGTCAAATAATTTTGTATGAATCAAATTTTGATTATTCTATGTGAAATCGAGTAAAACTAAGA